CAACATTTCTTATTAGGTGCAATATAGCTGCACAGTAGGAGGAAGAATGTTCAATAAATATTTGTTCCACTTTCAATTCCAATTAATGATGTCCTCCTTAATGTAGCACAGAACTACACAAAGAGCCTGCATGATTTAACTAGAATACAGGATTACATTATGGCTAATAGTTATAATTATATACACCTTGTGATGGTTTTCTCAGTTTGTTTTGAATGTCTTTAAGGTTACTTAAAGTGGACCTATCATGCTATATTTGAATAATATAGTGTAGGACCATACCTATATAAGGCATATTTATACTTTTTTTATTTTTCAAAATACCAAACAGATCATGCATTTTATCCATTTCTCATTTCGCTCAATTTAACACTGTCTTTGCATGGGCTGATTCTGTGAGAACAGCACCATCTACAGGCCTGGCATATGTACTACAGCGTCTCCAGCGCTTTCGAACGGCAATGTCCGTGGCTGTCTCCTCCTGATTGGTGGAGTTGGCCCAATAGCCGTAGCGCCACTTCTGTGACGTCATAGAAGTGTTCAAATCTGGATCAGTCTGTACATTTTTTTTAGAGATTTGGGTATGGTGGAAAAGAGAGGGTTGTGTTTTCTGACACTTGGTGAGTTCCCTGGAACACCGGGGACACATATTCATGTATAAAAGACGTACAAAAGTGCATTTTGCATGATAGGTCACCTTTAAAATACATTCAAAGGGCTTCACAGTTGCAAATTGAAACCAAACTTGCAAGTGAACTTATTAGAACACATCATTTAAACTAACTTACTATATTATCAGGTGTCTTCAAATATTTAGCTTGGAATCCACTGGCCGTTGGCAACACAAGAGTTTTATTTTTCTGTTGTATGAAAGTGCTCATATTCTGTATTGATGATTCAGCATCTAAGACTTGTATAAGACTTGGAAAAGCTCTAAACATCACCTACTGCACCACTGTCTGTGCAATAAATGAAGAGGACTCTGACTTCCTTCATTCTGAAGCCTGAAATAATCCCTCCCACTTCACAACTTTATAGCTGCTCAGCTTGAAGTCCTCTTAAAGCAAACTAAATCTGTGTATTTTCTTCTCCCTCACCCATACACAGTCTCCCACAGGTGTGTCACTCCATCTTGTATTAACACAAATGTATACAGAAGGCCATGACTGACAAGGTGAGGGATTGTGGGGAGGCGTGCGGGTGAAAGAGGAGAATTACCATATGTAAAGGACGGAGGTACCAAGGTCTCTCTTTTTGTCTCTCTGGATAAAGCAGGTGAGCTACAAGGGACATAATAAGTGCAGGTACAAGCGTACACTCTCAATGCAGACACAAAAAGGATGCATGTGAATGCAAATCACACATGTAGAACAAAAGGCGCGAGAGGAGACAAGGAGGTGTCTCTGTCTGTCCAGGTGTGTTGAAGATGCCGCATAGACCATCACCTGTGGATGGGTCGGGCACTGAGGAGGTCAGCGGTGCTGGAGTGATCTGATTAGCACTGGGAGCCAGGACGAGTACAGTTTCTCATCAGGATCAGCTTTCAAACCAATGTTATAGTGGTACTATTAATTTGATAGAGAGATAGGCAAACTGTGACCATGGTCTCTGTATCCCGAGGGAATACAGAACGTAGGTAGTCCCCCTTTTTTATTTTTCCGTTAAGAATACGTGGAAAGTGTGTTTTCTGTGTCTTTGTCACCTTACAAAATGTAAGTCACTGCTTTTGTCCGTTACTGGAAAAGAGCGCACATTTGCATTGTTTTAAAATGTTTTTTCTCATCAATACTTTCAAAACGTCCTCAGCATTATCTCAAACTATTTACAGTAGAATGGTACATGGATGGCCTACCTGCCTGTCAGCCTTCCATCTCGTGCACAAACTTATCTCGTGCCCTCATTGGTCATGTGCGCGTTTGTGTGTGTTGGAGGAGGGGCTCTGTAAGGAAGTCTGAAGGAAGGGGCAGATTATTTCCGGCTGCCTACTTTCAAATTCTAGCACACTCGAGCTGGTTTCTCTATTCTTACGTTGAATGAAGGACAGAGGAAATGTTGAGTGAATTATTTTAGAGGTTTAAATAAACCTTTCAGCAGCATGACTATTCATCATCAATCATGAGTTACAGATGTGAGGAACTGAAATGCATAAACATAATGAGAGTCAAAGAATCCAGGTGTTTAATACGTCTCTATGCTGCATTGAGTGCGACCAACATGTTATTAAAGCAAATTATTTTCCATGCTCTCTAATGAATGAGAGAAAATTCTAGGTTGTTTTTTTTCACAGCACTAATAAGGCTTTCAGTGAGATCATTACGCCAAAACAGCTCTATCCTCGCCTTTTACATTTGTTTCCTCTTCCCCACAAAATAATCTCCAAAACCATCTGTGCTGGGAGTACAATTACATGTTGCCCAGCTCCATTTTTCTGTCATCTAAACCTGTCTTTAGGTCCCTCTGTCTATCCGTCCTGAAAGCTCCTATTAAAAAAAGGAGGAAGCAAAAGCTGGGAGGAAAAAACAGAACACTCAGATGTAAGAGGCTTGTGGACATCTCAAATGCACTCAGAGAGGCCATTAATAAAAATAATTAGCACAGGAGATGGGCGGAAAAAACGGGGGCCGGCTTGGCTGAATCTAATTTCTGTTATTTAATTTATCACAGACTGGGGCAGGAAATCCACCAATCACTCTATTCTGGAAAGACACATACACACATAAATACACACAGAGCCCATCATCAGCCAGAGGGGGCCGGAGGGGTCATTAGTGAGGGAAGAAGATCAGATATCAACAATTCATCTTGGTCAAAATGATTAGAGGGAACCAGGAGGAGGGGGATATATAGGAGGGTGGTTGTGTGCGATGCTGGTTTAACTTACTATTGTGATCTTTGAGTCATTAATCAAATAACAGTGGACACACGCCCACATAACGCTTCTCACACGCAGTTGAGGTTCAGGTTCAGAAAGGTCAAGGTGATTATCTTCACTGTAACTCAAAGAAGTCAGCAGCACACTGCAGCTCGTGCACTTTGTGGCAATACACGCGATATATTCGCATCTTTGCCGGAGAAACCTCTGAATAATTGTGCCTTGCATTAACCTTTCTCATATCTGTTTTCGAGTAAAACCCCAAAAGGATGGGCAAAACATGGCAGCAGAGGATTGGGGTGATGAAGATCCATACGAAAGGTAGCCAATAGCTAGAGATACATTTGTAACTCTCTAATACCCAATTCAGAAACAAATATTATGATGTGGCTTGCCGATAAAGTAGAATTGTTCAACATTAGAAAAAGTGGATATAGCATTCCAATTTGTCGTCCGATTTGGTATGTTGACCCTAACTCACTGCCAGAATACACTTTAATCAATTTTCAGGCTCAACTCGAGACTTTCTGCAGGCGTACTAGTTGAAAGCAGGCACAATACAGACCATCACTAGCCAAGCCAGCATACTTCCCATTGTAAAGACATTTAAACAATTACCTAAGTACGAGCGCAGCAAGAGAGAACTAAATTGTGTATCAATTAGACAGGCACTAAACTGAAGCCACAACAGCTGTCTGAATATCATTGCCTGAGTTCAAACCCACATCTTGCTTCTGCCCCAGTATCAAAAGTGAATAAAACAGCATCACATCGGTCGAATTCATACATCCCATCATCTCAATGTGCTTTAAAGGCACACACAAGAAAGCATCTCCAGTGCCAGTCTAAGCTCTCTAAGCTCGAAAGAAAACACCAAGGGACTACCAGGCAGAAGGCTTGTTCGTCTCTTATCTCAGTAGTTCCTTTGAGCAATTTTCAGCGAGCTTATCATCCAGACAACAGCAAGTTTAAACACAAACAACTGAAGCATTATCAAACACAAAACTATCAAAAGCATAGGCTACTTGTGCCCTTTAGTTTTAAAGAAATATAAACTAACCTTCAGTAGCAGATGTGTGACTCCAGCAAGCATTTCATGTTAAGTATTTAAGTATTTCATAGTCCCTTTTTTGATTTAGAATATGGTATTCATCCAGACACTGAATACCATAAACAGGCAAACCCTAGCTCGTGAACGTTGGTCATTACAGAACTTATCTGAATGACAAGTAAGCATACCTTAAAATGAGACTCAAGCAAACATGTTTTTATCATACTTGGATCAGTGTTTTGAGCACAGTGGGTAATTTGTAATTTGTGGGTAAGGTGATCAGAAATAAAATGATAGAAATAACCTCAGATTGTGTGATATTGGTTATCTTTAAAAAAGAAAAAGCACCCAGAAGCAATAGTTTGGTACTGGAACTCCCAGGGTACACATACACACAAAACCACATACAAAAACACAGACAAAGACTGCCACACAAGGAATCGAATAATTCATGCGAGCATAACAAGTCAGCATGGCAATTCCTGACGCTTCCGTACTGAAATGCTCCAACGTTGCATTGCACTGCAGGTGATAAAAGACTCAAATATTCTGCACAACACATGGCAGAGTGGAATCAAGCAGAGGAGGGAGTGTAAACACAATACAGGGGAGATGGTGCTAGAGGGATAGCAAGACTGTACGCTGGGAAGGAAAACAGCATGTATGTCTCCTGTTAGACAACATAAATAGATTAAATCCACAGACTCAAACAAACGCATAGAAATCCTGCCAGGAGCAGTCATCGTATGCGACACATACTTCTGAAACAATATTTAACGTCTCAAACATGAAGCCAGATAAATACAGCATCCTCTCTGTTTGAAGCGTTGCTGCTGCCTTGTATTAGAACATTTAGATAGACTATAATATAAACTGCACTAAAGAGATCTAGTGAACAATACTTTATTCCGTGTGAAACTTTGCAATAATATTTTTACTGTTTGCAGGTCTCATAAGGGGGGCGGGTCGTAAAATGGAATGAGCTCTGAATCATGGTAGTGACTGCGGATAATAACGTTATGGTAATAATGTCGGAGATTGAGTGCAACAATGGGACAGTGATTGAAAGTATCCTACCGTGGTCTGTGATTTTACAAGACACAAGATACAGCTCCTTCAGACTTCTCCCCTCCTTGGCGATGATTTCCACACACCTACAGAGAGACAGAGAGAAAGAACAAATGTTTAGAGGGCCACCTGAGGCAGTTGTGTTTTGTTTTGTATATTGTGTTTCATATTTGCTTGAAGGCGCTTTTGACGTGACTCAAAAACTGCAAAATGCATGAACACACCCAGCAGCTTTATTTCTCTTAAACCCTCTCGGTTGCACACACACGGTTACTCAAAATAAAGGTTAAACAGTATAGCTGCGGGGTCAACCGCTCGAATATTCTGCCTCTGCTACTTTAACACATACATTCATAATTAAACACCTGATCTGATTAGAGAAGCATGCACTAACGCAGCATGGTTATACGCGTGATTTTGTGCATGTGAGCGCGTGCACAGACACATATAGAGTGAGCATGCTCACTTCAAAGAGGGATATCTGCATTCAGCCCGTGCCTGAGCCCAAAGGACCTACAGATTGTGTGTGTGTGTGTGAGTGTGAGTGTGAGTGTGAGTGTGAGTGTGTGTGTGTGTGTGTGTGTGTGTGTGTGTGTGTGTGTGTGTGTGTGTGTGTGTGTGTGTGTGTGTGTGTGTGTGTGTGTGTAAGACTGGGGGGGAGATCCGGAGAATTCACTAAGGGGGGCTGGGAGGAAGATCAGAGCTTCTGTATCAAATGATTCTCTTTAAATGCCTCTAATGAGAGGAGGGTGTGCAACAACTAGAATTTGATCAACGCATTTGACCTATTAACCTTCAGGATGAAATGTTTTGATCTTCATGCTGGTGTTCTATCATGAATATTTATGAGACACACACAAATGCACACACACACTGTACAGCTCTTGAATGTGAAGGCAGAGGTGTAGAAAAAGTGATGTCGAGCTGTCTTCTATCATTGAGCCTCATGTCAAAGTGAAACAGGGAACAATATAGCGTACTGTGCTCAAACACTTCCAAATCATATGATTGACAGCTGGGGTTATTCTGAAAAGCATTACTCATATGCACTTTCTGCACACTGTGTGCTGTGTTGGCTAATCTCACTGAAGGCCAAGTCTGATGTGTGAGGACTTGTTGCTAGAAAATGAGCTTCTTTTCTTTCATGTTTTTTATTTAATGTCACATTCTCACTATCTAGAAGACAGAAGTGAAAATAGGATGAAGATCAATAGGGAATACAGTACAGTGGCATTTTATTTTTGAACAAAGCAGGATCTGTATGCTTGTGTGTTTTTCTCCAGGCAGGATTCGTTTAAGGGCACACAATTTGTGGATGTCACTTGATGTGTGACATATCACACCGTGGGATCAAGAAGGAAAAGATGGCAGTGAGAGGAAAGTTAAAATGTGTGTCATATTTCTAAAATCCTTATTTGTGAGAGGAGCAAAAGCTGTCAAAATGTGCACTGGCCTATCTGCTTTAGTTCACTGGACTGCATCTTCATATTTCACCTTTTTCTATTACATTATTGTTGTGCTAGCCCTGCATGCCTCTCCATGTTATCATGTTGTTTTTTTCCGATCTTTTCATTGTCCCTCCCACCTTTCCCTGTTTATTTTTTCTCTTATTCTCCAGGACTCTAGTTCCATCCTGCCCTTTTCTATTTTTCTATCTTCCACAATTTCTCTCTCTCAGGCACACTCTGAGATGGTGATGAGAAAAGCTTTCTTGAAAATAGAAAGATACCTGTTGCAATTGGTCATTCCTGAACCTAAGTTGCGCTGGGGGCCGCCTTAGATTAGATTCAGTTGGGCCAGCAGGATCACAATATCATGCTTTGCGTCTTGGGGCTATGGCATTAAAGCTGCTGAGTGAATCAATGAATGCACTGGGGGGAGGGGGGGGGGGGCAACAGATAAAACGAAAGTAGTGATTCAGGGATGCAGCCACGAAGGGCGGAGAGCATCCTCTGGGAGCTTGTTACACTGTGTCCGGGTCCCCAGTGTCAGGGCAAAAGCAATTAGATCAGACATCAATGAATGAGAGAGGGAGTGAGGAGAGATGGAAAGCAAGTACAGCAGGAAACAGAGTGAGTAGAAATCTCTATACAGTAGCTAGGGGTTGGATGAAGACAGAAGGGGTATCATCATGGGAGGCGGAGAGCTAAGAAAGCAAGGGAGGAAAAAAAAGAAGGAGTAAGAGGCCATTCAAAAGGCCGGAGGAAGTAAAATGAGGACTGTGGAGACAGCAGAGGAGACAAGAGGCCGCAGCAGAGGTGTAGGATGTGATGGCTTAGGCATGGATCACGCCACATTAAAGGCCTTCAGAAAGCAACAAGCCTCCACCCACCTTCTCTCATACCCCACAAGGCTCAGCTGACATGAATTAGTGATCTGCTCGCTTTCCATAATGTACAGAGCCTGTAACAAAAGCCATAGTTGGACACGGCGTGCATACTGAACATTTCGATTGAGGCGATGCTACAGAAGATAATGTTGAGAGGAGGACATTAGGATGCAAAGTAGTAGGGTGGGTGAGATGGAGAAGCTAATGGTGGTGCTGAAGAAGGACTGAGCAGAGAAGGATGAAGAAAATAATGAGGAAATAGAGTGCCACATTGACGCGTCCTAAAACCCGGACGTAAGTTAGCATTTTTACCACTTCCGATTCCTTCGACAAAAAGCAATGCAATTTCTCCATAGGGTTTTGGAAAATAGCTGGAAATAAGGTCTGTGTTTGACACAAATTGAAGAGACAGATCACGTTTGGTTCTACGACATTAAATACATCAGCAGTGACCCCACTGGTGATTTTTTGGTGGATATTATCCGGCTGAACAAAACGTGATCCATCTCTTAAATGTGTGTCAACCACAGACCTTATTTCGAGCTATTTTCCAAAATCCTATGGAGACATTAGAGGTTTCTCAATACTCAAATTTCCCCTCCTCGACTCCTCGGTCCTCCGGTAGTGACCCGGAAATGAATTTCAGCGCGCCATGTTGAAGGACATCTCATTTCTCTAAATGCCTTCGAGGACCGAGGACCGAGCGTCGAGGAGGCTCTCTCGAGAAGCTCTAACCGAGGAGACACTGATGGGTCCTCCACGGCTGCATTTCCGGGAACGGTGGAGGCATGACGCACGGCCGGACTTATCTCAGCCAATGACAGCTCTGCATGCATCCCTTGAATATTATTCTAGTAACTGCTTTCATCGCAACGCGATGTTTACATTGAGAACAGCTGTGAGGTCCGTGCAGAAAGCAGAGCAGTATATAAAATATATCACTCAGTATAACAGGCCTACATTACTCTTTGTATTTGTATGCTGTAGTTTAGTAGATATCTACAAACAAAGAGTCGATATTTTTCTAAGACCATTTAGTGATCGGGGATCGGGATTTTTTTTTTTTTAATTTATTTTTTTTTTTTAAATACTTTAAAAAAAGATTATTCAATGTTACAAAACAAAAATGACCATGTTCAAGTCTTAAAGTCATCCTGAGGCCTTAGTTTTGGTTTCAAATTACACAACATCATGTATGTGTTGCTTCTTTGGGGCTTGTTTTCATAGACCTGGTTGCTTATTTCTCTCAAATCTGGCAACAGAGTGGGCAGGGCGCAGTGTCTAATTGTAGCAGTAAGCTAACGAGTACTGATAAGCTTTATTTTTGTTTTGATCCAATGCTGCACAACTGAACTGATCCAATGCTGCTGTGAAAAAAAGAAGCTATATCCATGTTGGATAGAATATCCAATTTAAATAAAAAAATAACCTTAAGGGACAACTTGAATGCTTTTTTTCTTTTTTTTTCTTAATGCATTGCATAAAGATCGGATCGGGAAAAATCGGTATCGGCAAATTGTCAAAATCAAATGATCGGAATCGGATCGGGAGCAAAAAAAGGTGATCGGGACATCCCTAGTGTGTATATGTCTGCATCTGTAACCTGTTATTGTCTCATTATACCGCACTGTCAATGAATTAAAAGTAAATATATATAAGTTGTCATGAACACATCTGTCCATCAGACAGAGGGCTGCTGTGCCTCCTGTCATCATTAATGGACGTCTCTTTAAAATGACCGCTCAGAGGAGAGTTCTCATTTCTCTAACCGCCTGCTGCTTCCACTCCTCTCTCCTCGGTTCCCCTCCTCAGTCCTCCGCTCGCATCTCCTGTGGGTGGCACCAAGTCTCGAGGAGAGGATAGGAGTCGAGGAGGGGAAATGTTAGTATTGATTGGCGCTCTATATATTGTAGTTTTAGGAGAGAAAAATGTTTTTAAAAGGAAAAAGCAAGAAAATAAATAGGAGGGACGTTGAAGTTCTCAAATGGAGAATTTGAACAAATGAAGAGAGAGACAGGTTGATGATGATGGGGATTCAATGTGAGATTCAAGAATAGAAATGAGTCGGAGAAAGAAAATAGGGGACGCAGAGAATAAGGAAACAGTGAAAATAAGGAGTGTAGTGTAAAGACGCTAAGTGGAAGAGGAGACGAGGCAGAAAGTGCAAGATGACTAAAATGAAGGGGAAGTGCCGGGGAAGGTTGATTATTATATTTTGAACAAAAAGGTACAAATGAGCTTCAAAAGATGAGGAGGGAAATTATGATGGTTAGTGGATAAGGTAAGAAAGTCAGTCAAGTCGTTTCTGCTACCATATAAGGCAAAGGATGCTCCTATAAATAAAATGTGATACATCAAAGTCAGGGAAAGCATTTTGTTATGTAGCTAACTGAAATACATCTCATGGCTCCTTTTTCAAATAAAAGACAATAAAAGAGTCCCTATAACTGAACTAAGGTCTAATGTTGAAGCGATTATTGCAGCAGCAGGCGGAGAGAGAGCCAGTAGGGGTCAGTGTGTGTTTGGCTTCCTGTCACTATGCTGTCGGCACAAACAGCTAGAGGTACACAATCAAACTGTCACTCCTCTATCTGATCCTTACGGGGCGATACAAACAAATATACTCTAGTACTCTAGACCATGGGTGTCAAACTCAAGGCCTGTGGGCCAAAACCGGCCCGCGACCTCATTTTATATGGCCCGCAAGAGCTTGCAAAGAATACAATATATAATACAATTGGTGCAATTGTTGAATAT